TCGTATGTGGCTTTTATTCAATGAATCCTTAATATATTCCTTCATTACTCTACTCTCCTGAGGTGACAGAGCATAGACTGCTCCCTTAGGTGGCATAGCGCCGGGTAGTAAATTAATGGAAGAGTCATAAGGTCTGTGAGGCGGTAGAGTATTCGACTGAGTTTTGCTGAATACTTCTTTAATGTCTTGGTCCTGTATAGGGATTTCCAGGTTTTGAGGTGTACTGGTGGGTAATCCAATAGTGCCCACTTTTTTTTGACAACATTCAATATACACCTTTCATAACAATCCTTACCCCATTCTAATATTTCCCCATTAGCCCAGTCAATATGAGGGTTATGCTTGCTAAGCCATGGAAATCCTAATATGATAGGACAAGAAGGAGATTTTGTCCAATGGACAAATTAATGGGTAAGGTTTCGTGTGTAATCAATGGTTGTGAGAGTGGTCTCCCATCAATAGCTTCAACAGCTAGGGGTGATAGTCTCTCCTTGATAGATATAGTATTACATTTAACAAATTGAATGTCAATGAAGTTTCCAGCAGCACCTGAATCCATCAGGGCTTTGCATGAAAAGTTCTTATTTTCAAAGGCAATAGTAATATCAAGGAGAAACCTATTTTTATCCATTCCAGAGGACATTTCCATTACACCTAAGACATGTCCCCTTAAGGTGCGGTAGTTTTCCCGACGTATGGGACAATTGTTTCTCATATGTCCTTTTCTACCACAGTATAGATGTGGCGAAACCGACCTCACCACTGGGCATTGGAGAAGACTGATTGCCAGCCTCCTGCCCTGTGACTATGGCCCCATGTTGAAATGCTGGCTTTTCCCCTGCGAACACATGAAAGCTGGGTCATTCGGTGCTTGCCCTGTTGGAGTGCTGATACCCCAGATAGCTATGCCATGGAGCCCATTCGTATAATGAAAGACTTTGGCTCCATGGCAATTGAACTGTATGTGTGTGCTCTGAGCGCCATTCAGTAATAATGTGCGCTCAGATCTGAGCTATCTGGGGATATGTTGAATGTACCTGTTCTGTGCAATGGCTGCACAGTTATATAATTGTATGTGTTTTATTGTCTTTTGCTGCCATGTGTTCAGTGGAGTTTTGCCTCTGTCCTTGGAGATAATTGGATTACTTCCCAATTATCTCCAGGGTAGAAGACTCTGTGGAACTGGTTTTGGGCAGAAAAGCCATGCTTCATTTGGTCACAAATGACTACGATCTATCTTTTGAACCACTGGACCAATTTGTTTGATTTTGACGTATGTTTGTATTTGGAGTATGCTGATTCTGAAAATGTATGTGAATGTGATGCTTACTTTTAAAGTTATGAATAATGTGGAAAAACTGTATTTCTCTGTTTGTGATAATTACATTACCCATTGTGTAAGGTAATTGTATCACAGGCAGAGGGGAGGATTTTGTGTGGGAGTGTCTTTCTGTCATGTACATGTTTTATTGGTTGTTCTGTAAAACCCTGTGGGCAGTACTAAGTTTGTGGATTGGGAATAAAAGAGGCTGTATGTGCCAGTACAGTCAGTTCTGCTTGACCTCAAAACGAAGTGTTGTCTCGTTATTGGGGGAATTGAATTGTATGCTGATTGCCAGGAGTGTAAGCTGATTGTATGCTTTTCCTGTTCAGCTGTTCACAGCATTTATATGCTTGAGAGCATTCATATGCTTCTCCAGTTCGGTGGTTGTGGTGTCTGCTGCAGTGCTTGGAGTCCTCAGGAAGTGCTAGGAGCATCTTTCAATGGAGGTACCCAGTCGGGGTGCCAGGTGATCCGTTACAATAGACATAGGCCTTCTTTTCTCCAATATTGTCTTTCTGCTTCCGACAGTCTAGTGACCCCCAACAGCATGGGTTCGGGTTCGGCTGCACAGGAAATTCAGGGACAATAGGTTTGGAGAAGTGCGGTGCTAAAGGCATATTCAGGTGTCTGGTCTTGTTTCTAGTAGCTTCTCTGGTTCTCAATCTATTATTAGTTTGCATGACAAAAGTGATAAATTCATTAAGTTTTTTGGGTAAGTCTTTGGCAGCAATCTCATCTAGCATAGTTTCAGATAGTCAATTTTTAAATGCAGAGATTAACCCACTATTAGTTCAGTCTACCTTGGAAGCTAGGGTACGAAATTCTATGGCATACTCCGAGATAGACTGGTCTCCTTGTCTGATATGCATTAGGGCAGAAGAGGCATCTTCCTCCCTGCCTAATGGTTCAAACGTAAGTTTAGATTCTGTAATAAATTCCTGGTAATTGTGTGTCACACTCCTATTACTCTCCCATAATGGGCTGGTCCAAGCTAAAGCTTTCCCTTTTAATTGATTCATCAGGTATCCAATTTTAGCTCTGTCTGTGGGAAAAGATCCCGGTGAGGCCTCAAAATTATACTCTATTTGGTTAAGGAATCCCCGGCATTCTTGGAAATTCCCATCAAAATGCAGAGGAGGAGATAGAGAGATATTTGGTACCTTGTATAGTATAGGCGGAGGTACAAAAGGCGGAGGTGAGACAGTAGGAGCAGCCGCAGGTTGCAGATGAGCTGTACGAGTAAGAAGCGTACTGAAAGTCTGGGCAAATTGATCCAAGCGGTGATTATTCTCCTCTAGTTTCCTTTCGCAAGCCACTATGTGCTTACACAATTCTACAGGATCCATGGCCCTGTCGTAATGTCAGGATTACAAAATGATCCAGCACATAGAATTGTGTAACACAGAGAACTGATAGGTAACGTATACCGGACCTTAGAATGGCTGGACTAACGTACCAAAGAATAGTCAGGAATAGCCGAGGTCAAGGGAAACAGAAAGAGACACAACAATAAGGAAAATCCAGGAGTCAGGGAAGTCAAAAACAATGCCAAAGTCAAATAACCAGAATTACCAGAATCAATAACACACTCTCGGACAACCACAAGGGAAACCACGACAGGGCACTGAGCAGGATGAGAACTGGGACTAAATACCCCTCATCTAGGTCTGATAGGCTGTAACCGGCCTTTGACCCCAAAAGCAGTTACCAGGTTTCCATTTGCATAATTGCTGCTCAGCATTAACCCTTCTGTGGATTTGGTTGCTGCTCGGCACAACTTTTCCTGTGTGGACAGTAAATGTCATTAACCATATTTTTATAAGCGGATGAATACGTGACACACCATAGGTCTGATAAAATGGGCCCCGTGGCACTTAAGACCTATCCAAACACTCCAGTTCAATATTCTCCAGATCAATTGGGATCAAGATATTGTGGTTCCACCAAAGGTAAAGTACCAACTAAAGTGGTGGTTATCACTTCACAATTTCCAGAGAGGTTTTCCTTTGGAATAACCAGACTGGCTCACAATCATGATGGATGCCAGCCCTTAAAGGTTGGGGAGCCCATCTCAACTCACCCTGGACTCAAGGGAAACGGTTTCTACAGGAGAAAAAGATTCATTCCAACCTAAGAGAATTGATAATGATTTACAAGGATCTGAAAGCTTTTCTTCCATTATTACATCATGTTGACTCACACAGACAACAGGGCAGTGGCTGCATATGTCAAACATCAGGGTGGCACCAGAAGCAAGCATCTTATTTCTGCGATGAAACCCCTGATGAATCTGGCTCAGAAGCATCTCATTGGTCTAAAGGCACTATACCTTCCAGGGGTGTACACCACCTTAGTGGACTATCTGAGCAGGAAAATGTTTATCCAGGAGAATGGAGTCTTAATCCAGAAATTTTCAAGATGATTACAAGAAGGGGGGCATTCCCCAAATCGACCTCATGGCGAACAGGAGGAATGCTCAAGTAAGGAAATTTTAATCTCTGATTCCAGACCCTCTATCAAGAGGTCAAGATGCTCTATCACAACCATGGAACTTCTATCTGGGGTAAGTGTTCCCTCCCCTACTTATCATACCTCGCCTTTTGAAGAAACTTGGCAAAGAAGAGAAACAGATCATTGCCATAATTCTCACATGGCCAAGAAGACCTTGGTATCAGCTTTTGCTCAAGATGGCCATAACCCAGCCTTGGAAACTACCTCTCAGGGCAGATCTTTTAGTCCAAACCCATCCCAATGGAATCTGGGAGCTTGGCTCTTAAATGGACAACATTTTTAAACCAAGGCCTTTCAAATAAAGTAGTGGAAACTCTTCCTAAGTCTCAGAAAAGATCTACTTCTTTCTGCTATCATGTGAAAACATTCAAAGGATGGGCAGGCTCTAAAGACGTTGACCATCTCAATTTATCTCAAATTCTGGATTTCCTACAGTCAGGTCTAGATAAAGGACTAAGCCTCAGCACTCTGAAAGTCCCATAATCACAAAATATTCTGGACAACTCATCCACTTATTGCAAGATTTTTCAAAGCAGCAATCAGGATTATTCCTCCGTCAAGAATTTCCTCTCCTCCTTGGAATCTTCCATTAGTCCTACAATTTTTAACGGAACCTCCATATGCTCCTCTCTCACAGATTTCTATACAACTCCTTACCTATGTGGAAGTAGAAAAAAATATTCCCAGATTCAATAATAAATGCGTTTTAATTGACCAGTGATACACAGGATATATCTCTGGGGATTAGCAAGAGGCAATCTTAATCACATTATATTTTTCATCATCTCTTATACTTTAAACATGGAAATAGCCCTCCATTTAGCTCAATGAGAACTCCAAATATGGTCACATTCCCTATTGGCTAAATTTTAGTGTAACTGATAGTTTAAGGTCACGAAAAGCTTAGGGGTCACGATACATGTTCAGTAGATCTTTCTAACAGATGGCTTGACCACAGTAATGACACAAGAAACTTCATGTGTCTTACTACAGACACTTCCTTAAATAATCCTATTCTTACCTAATCTAAGCTAACACATTTAAATCTAGCTACCTCTTCTAGAGCTGATCACTAGTGATGTCCCGAACGGTTCACCGAACGGTTCGCCGAACGGTTCGCCACGGATGGTGAACATAAACATAAACTTTGACCCTGTACCTCACAGTCATCAGACACATTCCAGCCAATCAGCAGCAGACCCTCCCTCCCAGACCCTCCCCCCTCCTGGACAGCTCACTAAGAATGCAGCTTCACAATGAATGTAAAATGGATGCTGTCCAGGAGGTAGGAGGGTCTGGGAGGGAGGGTCTGCTGCTGATTGGCTGGAATGTGTCTTCTGACTGTGAGGTACAGGGACAAAGTTTATGTTTATGTTCACCATCCATGGCGAACCGTTCGGCGAATGTTCGGCAAACCATTCGGGACATCACTACTGATCACACATCTCCCCCGTCCTGGCAACGGCTAACAGAAAAATTATATGCTCTCTTCAGCATATAATTCTTCAAATAAATATTCTTCTTTGATTATACTCTAAGATGGCAGACAAACAGCAAAATGGCTGACAGCATGTCAGAAGCAGGTTACATAGATTCACACCTATAAAACAGTCTTTTTGGTGGCCATTACTACAGTTAAACACATTTCTGAACCTCAGGCTTTCTCATCATCAGACTCCCATACCTTTATTTTCCATGATCGAGTAGTTCTCAAACCTATGCAGAATTTTCTGCCAAAAGTTGTATCCAATTTCCATTTGGGACAAGAGGTAGTGATACCATCCTGCATTCACAATCCTCAATCTCAAGAAGAAATAAAACTTCATGAACTAGATATTCGAGAATATTTAATCCAGTACCTGGAGATCACTAAAGAATTTAGGAAATCTGAGAAACTGTTCACACTACACTCCGGGTCAAGGAAAGGAGAAGCAGCCACCTTGTCAACCCTCAGACATTGGATTACGGTAATCATAGCAGATGTATACCGGAAGAATAACATACCTCCACCAAGATTAGAGCCCATTCTACTAGATCTCTATCCACGACTTGAGCAATTTGGGCAGAGGTGCCTCTGGATGATATCTGCAGGGCAGCCACATGGTCTTCTCCAATGACCTTTATTAAACATTATAAACTGCAACTGGCCTTCCCATTATCTATTTATTTTGTTAAGCTTAGGTATTACCCATAAGTGATGCTGCTATGAGTAGCCAGGAATGAGGAAAATGTAAACCATCCTTACCGCAATTTTCTTTTCCTGGCTATTATTCACGGCAGCATCAGACTCCCTCCCGAAATTAGCTTGATATTTGACTATTGTGTGAAGGGACTCTTTATACACTTGGTTTTATTTGAATTCTAGTTCCTGTCCTGTTCTGGTCCTGAGTGTGGATGCTGCCATGAATAATAGCCAGGAAAAGATAATTACAGTAAGTATGGTTTAAATTTTACTTATTGTCTCTTCTTGAAAATGTAACAAACTTCATGTGAATTGTCACCTATGACTTTAGCTGATTTATGAGTGAACTGTCACCACAACATGTTTGCTTTGGAAATTATCCTGCTTTTTAGACAGGTAAAGTGTTAATGTCTTCAATAAAATTATGTTTGGAGCCTGTTCTTGAGATCATCATTTTAAAATGAAATGGTTTAAATAACTTCCTATGTTTTGCTATTGCTATGGTGCTTGGGAATTATATCCACTTGTGTAAATCTGAATGTATGTAAATAGAGTGTGGATTACTATATAAGTTACAGCTCCATGGTTTGCTATAGAGAGAGCCCTGCACACAGATACACAGAGAGCGAGCACAGCTTCACAGGACCGAGAAGCACAGAGTGTCTCTGATGAAGCAACATCCAGCGATTTTCCTTCTGATGATCCTACGTATAATTATTGAAGCATGGAATATTCAGGAATCCGTAAACCCATGCTTTCAATGGACAATGGGATATCTAATTGACTATGAATATTATAAAGAAGGGGACATCATCATTGGAGGACTCTTTACTGTGAATATGAATGTAAGAACTGGATTTCATTATAAGATTGTCCCTACATATAAAATGTGTTTACAGTAAGTATATTTATTTCTATACACAGAATTTCTAGACATATTTTCCTCTGTAGTTTATAGAAATTACAAGAAACCTAAAACTGAATGTTATTTGTTACACTGCTTTGTATTTTTCGCTAATACAATAAAGGGGTCTATTCATTGTTCACAGAATTGGGGCTGAAAAAAAAAAAATCATATTTAATAGGAATATAACTTTAACTCAGATACAAACCCCAGCTGGGGGTTTTGGGCTTTATTTTGCAAATTATTTTTTTCCATTTATTAATGAATAAAACATCAACAAATAAACATATTGTCCAATATGTTTATACTCCAATCAAGAACTTTTTATTAAATAGCTACATGTATTTTTGTTTTATAACAATATGTTTAAAAATGTTTGAAAATTCTCTTTTCACCAAAACAGGACTTTAAGCTATGGAAAAAAAACCTGTAAAACACAATGAGCGTTATTTACACAATTTACACATGTATTTCTTCTAAAAACCTTGTGTAATTTACTTGTGGCTGAGAAGAACTTTATATTCTCCAATATGTTTATTCTCTAATCTAAGCACTTTTTATTAAATAGCTACAAGTATTGTTGTTTTTGTTTAGTGAATTCTCTTTTCACCAATACAGGACTTTCAGTTATGAAAAAAAACTGTAAAACACAATTATTACACATGCATAGGAATGAGAGGAACTGGCTTAGTGTTAGTGAGAGTCTGCATCATAAAAGGAACTCGACTATTCCATCAATGTGAGTTCTCTTACAATTACATATACTGAATACAATGGACAGTTGTGATAACCCAGCTAATGGCATCATAACTTTCCTTTTAACATTGACATTCTTTGATCTAAATCAAAAGGTTCAGAAGTGGAACTAACAGATGTTTTTAGTGGAGGACAGGGGGTTCAGAAGGGACGTCCGTTTTCATACATAGCAGAAGATGGACCTGAGAGTGAAAGGTGGAGATTAGTTGAGAATAGCCAGAACAAGTAAATAAAAAGAAGAGATCCAATAAGCTCATTAACCCCCCCAATTGTACAAATTGTGATCAAAATAAAACCTAGATTTTTAGCTATATATCTGTTCAACCATAATTTACCTCTTTCATATTAAGTGCACCCACACTTAGTATATATAATTTTGTTCAGGAGTAACAGGGCTTTCATTCCACATCAAATATTTATATATGAAACTTAGCTAAATATGAATAAAATCTAAAAAAAAGTAAATTTCTTTAACATATTTAGTTATTTTTCCAAGTTCTGCATGAAATTTTAACTGTGAATGTCATAATACTGTTAGAATTTACTGCAATAAAATTCACACATTTTTGTTCAGCAATGTCTCCCATGTACAGGTATTATTGGGTATAGGAAAGTTACTTTTTAGTTTTTTACACATTTAAATTTGTCAGATTGGTTTGTTGTGTCTGTGCTGCCTCTGAGATGGTATGGCATGCCAGAAATGAGAATTACCCCCATAATGGCATACAATGTGCACAAGTATATAACCCAGGGTGTATACAAAGACTTTTGTAGTAGCCACTTAGTCACAAACCTTAGCCAAAGTTAGAGTTCATATTTTTTCACACAAAAACAGCACTTTCACCGATGGTATTATTGTCATTATACATTTTACTGCTCTAAAACAATCATATTTTAGCCTCGACACAGAAAAACTTGTGTCTAAACTTTGTCCAAAACTAGGTGCCCTGTACAGAAACAAATCCTACCTTAAACCTACAGTAAAGGAAAAGATTGTACAGCAAATGTTGATGCCAATCATTGATTATGGGGATGTAGTATATGCATCTGCACCGCAATCCCACATTAATAAACTCAATACATTGTATAACTCGTTCTGCCGATTTGTGCTACAATGTAATTACAGGATCCACCATGGTTACATGCTAAAAGAACTAAACTGGTTGTCCAGACGCACCCATCATCTTTACAGCCTTGTGTTTAAGAGCTTGGCTGGGAAGTTCCCGCCCTGCCTGAATGCTCTCCCCGGCTGTTCCCACCTCCTATAACCTCCAATCCAGTACCAGCACTTTATTTACTCTACCTCAATACAAAAAGAAAGCGTCTCGATCCTCCTTTTCCTACAGACCACCGCAATTATGGAACGTCCTCCCGCACACTTTTAAATCTTCCCCAAGCTAAAGTAATTTAAGAGATCCCTCTCTAAACAGAATTCACGTGTCATGGTTGATTATATATTTCCTACCTGTTTTTTGTTAAATTTTGTATATATTATGTATTAATATTGTTTTTGTATTTTATTGTACCCTATTGTATCAATACAATGTTTTGTTTTTTTTAATCAATAATTTTTATTCTTTTTTGGGGTACAGAAAGGAAGAAGGGAGATGGGGAAGAGAACACACCTGAGGGCTCCAAACCCTCGCTCAATTTATATCCAGTTCAATTGTCATGTGAATATACATTACATACAGCCATATTCTAGACAATGAGTAGTACATTACTGATATTTTCTTACTGCCCTTGATTCCCCTTTCAGGAGTATGGCAAAGTTAGTATGGCCTGTTGCGTTATTTTTTTTGTTATCTATTCCTGTATCCAATGTGAGTTCTGGACTCTTATACGTTGTCTTGGGGTGTTGTGCTCCACCCCCCAGCCCCCACTCCCCCACTAACTCTTATTAGAACTTATACAACTATGTACACTGATGGGTAACGATGAGTGCGTGACACAGGAAGACCAAGATCGTCTCGTTCTCGCGTCTTTTCCATGTTATACAGGTTTACTTCTCAAATGGGCACCCCTGCTCTGTTCCACTCGGCTTCTTCTTCCACAGTTTTTTGGGTGTTTTCAGTAGTAGGCACAATCCCTGTGCTCTGCCTCTGTGTACACTCCCCATCTGTCCATAATCTGTAATCGAATGTTGGATTCGGAATATGTATGCTCGCTATGGGTGTAGCTTTGGACCAGCTGGGACTCGAGCAAAGAGACCCTCTCTTAGTATCCCTGTTCATATCATGAATGCTGTGGTGGGAAGTATATGGGGGGCTGTTGGTTTCTGTTTCCTTGGAACCCAGAGCAGCTGATATAAGTTTTGGACCCGGGTCCAGTGAGCCTCTATGTGTATCCATTGCGGTTGTTTTGACTGTGTGTGTGTCGCTACTGCTGAGGAGAGTATTGATGCTGTGTAGTATGTCTTAATATTGGGTAGGCCTAATCCCCCTTCCTCTAGCGCTGTATGAAGGAATTTAGAGTGCACTTGTGCCTTCTTATGTTCC